GTTTCATTATCTGGCCTTCCAGGGAACAGTCAGGGTTGATTTCTTTTAGGATTGACTGATTTGATCTTCTTGCAGTCTAAGGGACTCTTCAAGAGTCTTCTCCAGCACCATAGTTCAAAAGAATCTATTCTCGGCGCTCGGCCTTCCTTATAGTCTAACTCTCGCAGCCATACATGACTACATGATATTTTCCAATACTGTTGTCTAAATATTGGTATCAAATATTATCAAAAACATCAATACATCAATACAATTTCATTCTACCTTATTAATAATTATTAAAATTGTGAAAAGAGCTCATTTACCCCTTGTGGTTATTATGTTATTGATGTTATTATGTTATTGATGTATTAATATTTTTATTTCAATTCTGATGGGACCCTAGACAATGCTGCTATCTTAAGAGCTTTTGTGCTCACAAAGAAAAATTATTGCACCTTATGTCCTTTATATATACATCACAGTCCTTGAAAAAGATTCATTCAAAAAGGTTAAATTACTAAAGTCCGATGGGACTAGTGATCGTGATATTGACAAGGTGCTGTCTGAATGTAAACCTGCACTCGATGTATTGTTTGGGTTGAAACATATTTTTCTCTATGTATTGTTTGGGTGAAATCTATATTTGATAATATTTGATACGTGGGGGGGAGGGCTTGGCTCATTGGCAGAGCATCTGTTTGTTATCCAGGTCCAGGATTCAATCTCCACCCTCTCCAGCTAAAAGGATCAGGCGGTAGGCCATTCGAAAGACCTCTACCTGAAATGCTGGAGAACTGCTGCCATCCTGAGCAGACAGTACTGACTTTGATGGACCCAAGGGTTTGCCTAAGACCCAGGAGAGCTGCTACCCATCAGAGTGGACACTACTGACCTCGATGGACCCATGGCCTGATTCAGTAGAAGGCACCTTTATGTCATAGACATGAAGAGACAGTGTCATAGATGCAACAAACATGAAGTTGAGCAAATGTCAGAGGTCTTTCTGGTCCATGGGGTCGCAAAGAGTCGGACTTGACTGTGCGACTGAACAACAAACCTTCATGTCTTCCCCTAGCAAGGCTGAATCGCTTTCTTTTATCTTTCACGTTTCTAATGTAACTTTCTGGCCATCGCTGGATCTTCAGAGCAGCCTAGAAATTCTGGTCTTGTAAACCGAGAACACGGAGCGAGCAAGAGGTTTAAAAGGAGGCTGGCCACCTTCCGTTGCGTCAGGAGAGGATCTGACTACCACCTTGTCAGTTCTCCTCCTGCCCGTCCACCCAAGGAGTGAGCCTGGGGTCTAAGGAGCTCTGTCACCATGACATGCACAAGGTTAGACAGAAGGAAAGGAGGCCGACATCCTGTCTGTATGGATTGCTTGGCACAGAAAATGGCTCATCCCTGAATGCTTCGGAAATGTGCCCCCCCCGCCACTCTCTGCCTTTTCACCTCCTGCATGGTGGGCTTGTTAACACCTGCAAGAGACACTAAATTCAGGCCTGCTTGTATTTCCTTGATGGGGAGCATGAAAAGTCACCGTTTGATCGGGCCAAACTTGACAGCTCCACAGCTCTGGCCTCTGAGAAGGAACAGCGCTTTGTGCTGAGGCTGCTCTCCGGGCAGGAGGGGAGGCCTCCTGCGAGACCCGGCAAGCTGATACTCTGAGACGAAAGCAAGTCACAGAACTCGAGAAATAAGACATTTACTAAGAGAAAAGCCAGCTGCCAGCTGTTCCTTTCATCGGCACACGAGTGCAATTGGTGAGAACTTGCGGGGATCCTACTGTGAACCAATCTGGGTATCGGAGAGCATCTCCGAGACTCTTGCTATAAAGAACAGGAGACAGCCCGGTTGCCTTTGGAGAGGGGCTGCGACCATTCCTGTGTGTAAAAGGCAGGAGCGCTGAGCAGAAACTCTGGTCCCTTACCCTCATCGCTGGATGCGGCTTCCTGCTTCACCACAGACAGCGGGGAGCGGGTGGGGGGCTTGCCCAGCGGGTGGCGGCGGCTCTTCTTGATCTCCATCTTCAGTTTGGAGAAAGTAGAGGTGGTCTAGCAAAACACAAATACCAACCACAGACACACATGGTTACTTGAAATACCCCAGAAACCCTGTAACACATTTGGTCAGCAGCAGAACAAGTGAGCGGTGCCCTGTGAGTCAGAGCCCAAGGGGACAGAGCCGGGTATGATGACCTACCACTGGGAAAGATTAAATTGGAGACTGGATCCCATGAATTGAGGCAATTTATATCCCTTTGCATCTTTTCTTCTAGCTATGAAAGTGGGGAAAGGCCTGTTCAGCCACCTTCAACTTCCTCGATTTTCTTAGGAAATGGGCCAGACACTTCCCACACCTCTCTCAACCACCGTGAGGACTAGAAACGAGCTTGTTTTTAAATTGAAAAAGAGGGGTTTGGGCTCCTGAATCAGATACCAAACGTAAAAACAAAACAAAATGTGCAGCTGTGAGAAGGAAGACAATTGTTCACCATCTCTGCGAGGAACAGGACAAAACACAACTGCTTTCGGCCACAGACGGGTATTTAGAAAGTAACAAAGAGCTATTTAAAAATAACCACAAAAAAACCCTTTAAAGAGATGTAGCAGCACTTTAATAGTGGAACAGCTGGAGGCATGTGTTGGAAAGGCTCTCCCAGACTATGTCACACAAGGACAGGGACAGCCACCTGGCCAGATCCATCCCATCGCAAAGTCTGTTTTACCTCTGGCAGGCTTGCCAAACTGAAACTGACTTACAGTGAAAGGCTTGCCTGCAGTTTCACCCATATGGAAGTCCTGGCTTGAATGTTCACAGCAGAAACCTACTCAAGGGTTCATGAAGCTAAATAAGTGACGCTCTGAGCCCCGTAACAGCTGCCATTCCACGCGAGATCCAAGGGCCTGGAGTGTTGTTCTTCAACAAGTCCTCCATGCTTCCGGCCTCTGGACCACTGACGCTCTGAGCCCCCTGACAGTTGCCATTCCACGCGAGATCCAAGGGCCCGGAGTGTTGTTCTTCAACAAGTCCTCCATTGACCAGGCAGAGTTCGTACCCCATTGCGTTCCCCCTCTTTCCCACGTCAGCTTCTCTTTCCTCTGCCTCTTTTGAAGGTGCTCTAGAGTATTCAGACACCTTCGCGGTGATATAATAAAACGCATGCAATATCACACCTACCTGCTCATACACATCCACTCCAATTTAACATCATGGAGCCAACAGTGCAAGAAGTGCTTTGTCAGAGAGTGGGTTGCCTAGCAATGGAGGCTCAACGCTGCTAAAACCTCTCTAAGGAGCAAGTTATGTGGAAAGGTTGTGCTTTCTATTTCTTGGCTCTCCAGTGGGCCACCTTTGCGTAATCCAAACTCTTTGTACAACACAGAGGGGGGGAAAAGGTTGTTCCTTCAGAAACCAATTTATTGCTTGTTTTCCAGGGACTGTGGAATCAGGGAAATTCATGGAACAGCGATGGAAGCCACTGATGTACACGGAAGCTGCAGAACTATGCTGCATGTGCAAGATCACAACTTTTTTTTTTTACACTCTGAAGTAGTAAACCCAACCCGGAATTTATTGCAGTGGTCTTGTTCTCAGAAATCACTGATAGGGAGAAGCTTTCACCACGGAGACTCAGGTCTCATTCAGAAACAGCAGCTGAGACAGGAGATTTGTCTTTGGACTGGTACTACCTGAGACTGCAGGAGGGGGCTCCTGTTAACCCCCCCCCACCTAATCTAGTTCTAACCTAGCCTTTGACCTGATATGTCAGTTTTCCTTTTCTTTTGAACAGAAAAGCATCCACTCCTGGGAAACACCAAAGACAATCTAAAGTGGTATCGCCCAAAGGGGGCTTGACTACCTCCAGTGCTGCTTCTGAGAGAGAACACATGCATTTGGGGAGAGTTTCACGGTTGGCGTTCCGGAGTCTGGAAAGGAGTTTTGCCCCAATGTGAGTTGAGGCAGACCTGGAAATCTTTCACCATTACCTGTTTTTCAGTTTGTTGTGTGTGTGTGTGTGTGTGTGTGTTTTGGGGGGTGTCTTTCAATCTCTATGTGAGATTAAAATGCGAGATTATAGAGAGAATCATTCATGATTTAACTCACGGTTATCAGCTTTGTCCTCCTGAGGTAACAGCCTTTGTCAACAAGGAATCTCCAGGTAGTGCATCCACATCCTCTATGTGGTTTGTCTACCTTCTCATTTATCCCAGCATTAAAAGCACCTGAACTTGGCTGGGGCGGTGGATACATTTTTCCAGCTCTTTTATGCTGCCAATTCAATTAATAAGCTCAGCCCCCCCCCCCCAGCTTTCACTTCTTCCCCTTCCTCCTTCCACTGCCCACACAGCACAGGGACACCCTCAACTGTCGTATTTTAAGAACGTAAGAACATCAGAAGAGCCCTGGCTGGATCAGATCAATAGTCCATCTGGTCCAGCATCCCGTCTCACACAGTGGCCAACCAGTCCCTCTGGAGGGCCAACAACAGGGCACAGAGGCCGAGGCCTTCCCCTGATGTGGCCTCCTGGCTCCTTGTAATATTATTACACAACCTTAAGGAAATATGATGAAATCCTGGAACGCCAGCACCTCTGGAAAGTAGAGAGTTTCACAGGCCAAACTGGGCCACCAATTTCCAGCTTGAAAAGAACTATTTCATGCCAGGGTGATAACACCAGATCATATTACAAGCCCTCCACCATGACACCGAGGGCCGCTTAGCCACTATGGTTGAGAGCGCTCTGAAAAGACAGTAACAGACGATCCTTCATCCAACGATCTCCAAGTGACAACAGGATAACCCCCCCAAAATAGCAAGAGAGGGCACAGAGGAGGGAATCACAAATACAGAAAGAAAGAAAAAAATACCTTACAAGTCAAAATGAAAAACAAGCCATTTTTTATTGCCGCAGGCACAGTGAAACCTGGACAGTCTGTCACATGGCATTAGCTATCCTCATGTGCTGGCCAGCAGCACAAACACAAGTCCTCCTTTGGCATCACGTACTCAACAGGTCGCAGTAAAGAGTCTGGTCTCTTTGGGGGTTTCAGGCACTGCGTGCTGGGAGAAGTCTTGGGCAAGGAAGCCAACAGCCCGTCTTTACCGTGGCACTACGAAGAGCCCAAAGCCATTCAGCAGTGGGGTAGGAACGCCAAGAGACTGCCCCCCATTAAGTCCCCAGGATCTTGTTGATTTCCGACCGGATCCTCCTCCAGTCGGCTGCCACTATGTCCCAGAACTGCTGGTGCAAAAGGCGCCTCAAACGGGCAACCACGTTGCGTGGCAAAGCGCGCTTGCCTCCACCCCCGCGATAGCTAACAGCACCTCGCCACCGCCGCAGCTCATCCGGGGGGACCATCCGGGAGAACACGGCCGCAGCGTACCGTGCCGGCTTGCCGCTAACTCGCTTGAACAACTCCCGCCTCTCCCTTTTGGGAATCCTCCACAAGGTGATATCGTCCGAGCGTAGGGCAGCCTGCAACAGGGTTAAGGGTGGGTTACTGACATTGGCACGTGCAACCAGATGCAATGACACAGCCCAAACCATGCATCCCCGAAGCCTGGCAAGCACTACAGGTTTAAGCCACCTTGTTCCCGTCTCCGGGGCTGAGGGTGGCAAAGAATATAGCATTCGGAACAGAAAAAAACAGACAACATCCATCCCCGAAGCCTGGCAAGCACTACAGGTTTAGGCCACCTTGTTCCCGTCTGAGAGTGGCAAAGAATATAGAATTCGGAACAGAAAAAAACAGACAACATCATCATCTCCTCTTCCTCCTCAAAGGATTTTGTTTGGACTGGGGAAAGCTGCCAAGCTTCCATCAAGGGGGTCTCACTCCAACGACCGCTACGGCAGCTGTGCTCCATACAGATGAATCCTTCCCCAATAGCAGCAGATCCCCTTCTCAAAATTCTGAGCTCTCAGCATCTGTTTTGCTCCTTCAAGTTTCTAGGCATCATGGCTGCAGAGAAAAGTCTGGTGACGCCCATGCTCCTCCTGCCTCTGCATTCCTTTTGTGACTATAGTGTTCACTAAAAACCCAAGTGTCATTAAAAAGGACACTAGATTTCAAAGCGAGGCATCAGTTCAAGGACTGGACTAGGGGTACATGCAGCCACAGGCTGGAGTTCACTGCAGCTATCGCATAGGAACATCAGGAGAGCCCTGCTGGATCAGACCAGTGGTCCATCTAGTCCAGCATCCTGTCTCACACTGTGGCCAACCAGTTCCTCTGGAGGGCCAGCAACAGGGCAGAGAGGCCGAGGCCTTCCCCTGATGTTGCCTCCTGGCTCTGGGATTCAGAGGTTTAGTGCCTCTGAATGTGGAGGCTCCCCTCAGTCACCATGGCTAGTAGCCACTGATAGATGTCTCCTCCATGACTCTAACCCCCTTTTAAAGCTGTCTGACTATGCCTGTGACCATCACTACATCCTCAGGCAGCAAATTTGACATTTTAATCACTCATTGATTAAAGGACCACTTCCTTTTCTCAATCCTGAATCTACTGCCCATCAGCTTCACTGAATGCCCTCGAGTTCTAGTATTTCGGGAGAGGGAGAAGAAGGCCAGTTCAGAAGACTACGCAACACTATTTGCTTCATCTGAATCCACCCATCTCTTCCCACCTCAGGAAAAGACAGGGACTGAAGGTGGAACATCCCCAAGATGATCAGCCCCCCACTCCACCCCTGGTGGCTAAGAGCAGAGTGCACCTTTCCGCTCCTGTCTCCACAAACAGAACAAGACCACGTCTGGAGGGCTAGGCCCCTGCCTCTAGAAGACGGCAAGACAGGAAGTCAGGGGATACCAAGTCCCAAGAAAAATTACTGGGCAGGGCTTGGCGTTCACAAACAAGAGCCACAGCAGAGCATCCCTCTTTTATACTATTTGTACAGGCCCTTTATTTAAATCTGTGTCCAGTGGAAGGTAGGCTTGCACTTCTCTAAGCATAGTCTCTCTCTGGCTGTGAGAAAGGTTTAGTTGCAAAAGAAGACAACAAGGAGAAAACACAGACAGTGGTCTTCCCAAGTCACTCCCGCACCTCTCTCTGTTTGGAGAGGAAGTACATGGAGGGGGAGACCGTGGCTGTCTCTGGAGCCACTGGAGAGTGAAGGCTGGGTCCTGGGCCAGCACAGCAGGACAAAGACAAGAGTCAGACGAGAAGCACATAGACAGGAGCGGCTCAGGCTTCCGGGGCATCTCGACAAACCCTAACATGACACTCAGCATTCGGTCTCAAGGCAGGTTCATGACGGCAGTGAAATGCCATAGATCCATACATACAGGAAGGGATTTTTTTTTCCTTTAAAGAATAGACAAATCCACAGCATGAGCCCTGCTTACTACCAACAGCTCCTTGCTGCCTTTCTTCCTGTCCCACAGTAACAGCTGGCAGTGTATGGGGTTTTTAAACTGGCTACCATTTTCCAGACTGCACGCTCAACCCCCAGTGTCTGTGCTACACCATTCCAGAATCTGCAGCCATCACTTGCATTCTGGGAATTCCTGCAAAGGCCTGTGTCTAACCTTGGCTGGGTGACAGCCAAATTAAACGGAAGTTCCAAAAACAAATAGATGGCAATATCCATGTACCACCAGGCTGTTTATCAGGAGGTAAGCAGACTGCCTGAACCTCTCCCGGACCTACTTTTCAAACCAAGGATAGGAACCACAGCAAGGACTGAACGCCAAGGGCAGCAGCACCCACTACAAAAACCACACGGTTGTTAACATTAGGGTAATATGACTCCCATCTCAATTCCTAAAGCGTAATATGAGAAAATTGCAGTACTTCAAGGAGAAAGGCACAAGGCAAGCTCACCAGATTTCCTTTCTTACCACCTTACTGCAGCAAGTAAACAGACCACATGATGGACCAGAAAAAAATTACTGTAAATCCCTAGAAGCTAGTATCAAACTTCAAAGCAGAAAACCCTCTCTTGCTTCAGCTTTGTGAATGTGCAGGACAGGGGTCCCCAATCTTTTTGAACCTGTGGGCCCCTTTCGAATTCTGACACTGCGTGGAGGGCGTTGCCACAGGAGGCAGAGCCAACCACAAAACAGCTGCCACATCTTACCTTCAGTTATACCATGAAGATCTTTCTGATGTGATGGAAGCTGCTGTCAAAGAAACATTTTAAAAAAATCTGGACAGCCGATCAAATCCACCCGACCCCACTCTCTTTCCAAAAATACTTAGTGGATGCCAGGAAAGGCGCCATTGGGCACCACTGTGCCCATGGGCACAACGTTGGGGACCTCTGCTGTAGAAAGTTACCCACTGAAGCGTTCATTCCTCTGGGTAAAAACCAGGAGTTTTGAGACGGGGCCATCAAATCCACTCTTGATGTAAACACTCTCAGGTCAGTGGCTGAAAGTATGATTCTCAACAGCTGTGCACATAATCACGGCATGAATGACTCAAACTCCTTATGGTTTGAAATGCCAGAGGAACTGGTCACCTGACCGATGCGGCATCTTGGGATGCAAATAATCAATTATGGTCTAGAGCGGGAGCCTCTTGCCACAGCACTAGGAGGAGGTCCCACTGGCCAGAAAGTGGGACTTGGAAACCCGGGCTCAGATCTGCCCTCCACACCATGGACCTGGATGCCTCAGTTCCCCACCAGAAAGGAGGGAAGAGCAGCCGACTCTCTCACAGAGGCGCACCGAGAAGTGAACAGAAGATGGAAAAGCACCACTGAACATTTCCAAAAAGGCTAGAGACACCGCAGCAGGCCTTGAAAGCTCCTTTCCAATACGTTAACCTTTTCCAGGGTTATCTGGAGGCACAGCCCTCCACACTACACAACGGAAGCCTCATCACACAAGCTAGAAACTGAATAAACCGGGGGGGGGGGGGGGAGAGAGAGAGAGAGCTTGCAGTCAGCACCTGGAGATGCACCAGCACATACCCATGCCGGAACGCACATACGATCCAGCACAACCTGCCCCAGGTGCAACAACAGATTCGGGACTACAAAGGCAGCAGTGTCAGTTTGGGATTCCCACACCCCACACCGATCCAGTTTACAAACAGGAGTGCTCTGCTGGAGGACCGGTTTGCTCTACCCCCAGCCGCAGCCCTCCTGATTCACTGGAGTTCACGCTCCCTTCCTGGACCCCAGCCAACCAATCGTTGCAGCCCAATAAAAGACAGCTGTAAGTGGACAGGGAAGACAGGTGCAGAGAGAAAGAGAGGACAGTAAATGAGGCGACACACATTCAGGAAGGAAGCAAGCCAGTCCTCCGAAGCATGATGGGATCTCTCATGCCAGCAGTCCACAATACTGCCCCCTGAGCGGCAGCTACCTTAAGTGGCTTTTTGCAGGAGGCTGCAGCCAAGGTGAAGGATGTGGGGCATTACTGTTTGGGGCTTCCACAAACACGTGCTGGTAAAAGAGTCGGGGATTTTTCTGGCACCATCTGCAGAAACGGGGCCAGCGTGAATCGTGAAACGTGATGCCAGAGACAGGAGAGGGTCGCCTGACAAGTGCTTCAGCAAGGTAAGGAGGTAAATATTTCTTTCCCATCAATTCCAACACCTTTATTAAAAACTGGGCAGTCTGACCATTAATGAAGAAACCATGGAACTCAAGGCCTTTGCCCAGAAACAGAACTATGCCCAAACAGAACAGATCAGGCCACAAGGTCAAATAAAAAAGATTAAGGAGCTGGGCTCTGACTATAGATTAAGGTCTAATTGCCATGTATGAGCTGGGAAGATACCCTCCGTCAGTTCAGGCTGGACAATGGACCTTGCAGGATGGCCTGGGTGGTCAAAGCAAAGCTGGAGGCTTGGGGCTATGTGAGGGTCATTCAACCTTCTGTAATTTAAACACTTTATTTATGGTTCACGCTTCTCACCTGGACTCCAGGTGGACCACACAGAGCTAATCAATGCATTCGAGGGATGGGACGAAGCATCAGGGCTGAAATGCAGCCGTGCCCACAGATCTTTCGTCATCCCACCCCACGCTGCCATACTGCCTGCCCAGCAGTGTCCTGCTCGGCTTGGCTGACCAATGGCTGAAGCCTCCTTCCAACTTCAAACGCAGAAGCAACAGGAGGTTCCAAAGGAGGAGGCCCGTCTCCCCAGACCACCATGGGATTGTTTGACTCAAGCAGCACTAGAAGCCACTGTTATGCAGTCCTCGCCCGTGTTGGCCCCTACCTGTAATTTACTGGGCTCAGTGGGCCCCTCTGTGTTGTCTCCTTCTCCGCTCTCCTCTTCTTTTATGCGGAGATCTACCCCCTGCTCCTGCGTGAGGAACTTCTCAAGCATCTGCTGGCAGGACACGCGCTTCTTCTGAGAGGAGGTCTTTCGGGGCCGCTGAACGGAGTAAAGCTTTTGTAAACTGGGATGAGCCTTGGACTCCTTCTCCTTGCCAAGGGTTTCCGAGGCCAGGGCAGGCATGGGTGGGGTGCTTTCTTCTGCGGAGGCAGACTTTCGGGGCTTGGCCTGCAGCCTGTCTTCCTCCAGAGGGGCTTGCAGCTGCCACTCTTCTTCTTGCCTGGAAAGGGAAGGCTGCGGCAGCAACAATGGAGGCAGAAGCTGTTGCAGCGGTAGCTGGGGGGGCCGGGACAGGGAGTGCTGCGGTTTCTTCTTCCTCTCCCCTTTGACTTTTGGGGTGCGGCTCTTCGGCTTACACTCTCCTACGGGAACAAAGAAGGGAGAAGGTCAGTTCCAAAGAGGGCTCCTGCAAAAACTTACGTGCAACTCCATCTTTCTCGTACCACTTGAAGTAGAAAAACTAGGGGCCAACCCAGGCTCCCTCTAAACTCCCAATCCCAAACTTGGTCTGTTCCAGAGTACCCAACATGAGCCATTTGAACATAAACATAGAAAGAGAGAGAGAGAGAGAGATGAGCAACCAAAGTCTTTTTTAAAAATGCAGGGATTCAATGGTAAAAGGTAAAGGTAAAGGTTCCCTTGCTCGAAAGCCAGTCGAATCCGACTCTAGGGTTGCGGTGCTCATCTCTGTTTCAAAGCCGAAGAGCCGATAGCAAACTCTGGCAACAAATGGGAAAGATGCTGATCCTTCTTTGGCTTTGGGGGCAGTTTTGCCCCACAAATTGGAAGTGTACTTCTCTCACCCCAGGCCCAGGCCTATACTCACAACCCTCCTGACATCAACCGTCCTCACGCCCTGCCGCCCACAAGCTGAGGTTTGTTCTCACAGTGCAGCCTCACACTATGGAGAAGGTGAAGATGTTTTGAAGGGGAGGGCGAGATATCAGTCAGGGAACTCTGCCTCTCTCTCTTTCAGGTTCCCGTAATATTGACAGCTGCAAGGAGAATAAGAGAGGAACAAGAAGCCTGCTATCTGCCCTGAGGTTTTACGTACAAGACTGGCCGGCAGCAAAACAGAGGGGATGTCACCAATCCTCAGCTCGGTCAAGGCACGAGAAGCTCCCTCTGCCCAAATGGTAGGCCTTCAGGGTTTACAGGGATGTCTCCTATGAACTACAGCATACAGTGTCTGCTAGTCCTGGAAACAGTGATTCAATGCTATTCGTATGGGAGCACATCCCCTGTGTTCAGCCAACTCATGTTTCGATATCCCAGAATCCTCCTCTGCATTGCTATCTATTAAGAGGAAGCACCTCTGGTTGGTGTGCTGAATGGTGGCAACTCTGAGAAGGATGATGCAGACTGGACCCCCCCCCCCGAAACATCCACCATTCCAGAGCACCAGTATGCTTTAAAGAGGAGGCACCTACACTCACTCCCACCCCCTCTCTCAGGCAAGACAAGACGCAGGGAAATCCTGGCAAAGAGCCCCCTGTGATATTTTTCTTTCAGATTCCAAGTATTGGGGTTTTTTCCCCTTAATTCCCATTTGGACCCTAGCACATGAACTTTGGGTTAATCCTTCCCCTTGTGTGCCAGTTTCCCCACCCTGAAACAGCACCAAGGAGGTATCTGCCTTGTTGTGGCAAAACTGGCTGCCTTTATTAGTACCTGCATGTTCCTCCCAACAGCACTCATCTACTCGGTCGGTCGTATCAGGGGAGAGCTTAACCGATCCCCCAAGCTGCAATTCCAATGAGAATTAGGCCCCCATGTGCCTGGGTTTTTTAAAAAGCCTGTTGGGAGGACCATTCATAGATCTCCCTTGTCTGGCTTGCCCTTCAGCATGGGCTGAATGTCAGTTATGAATGTGACTCCAAGGCTAGCAAGATAAGAGTCACTCTTTAGGCAAGGACAGCTGGAGGGAAGGTCCTCTTTTTTCCAGCTTCTGGCTGCAGACACGACCCCGCTTCCCTTAAACCCAGACAGAAACGAAGGTGGGAAACCAGGCATTGAGGAGACCTCCACTGAATCACTTGGCGGACCAACAGCTCCTCCTGCAAGGTCTTTGAAGAAACCTGCAGGAACTTGGAACATGAATCAAGCCCCACCACCCGGGCCCGCTACAATACTGGCCAACCAACCGACCGTGATATATGTTTTTCAATCCAGCCCCCTCATCTCCTTCCTGCCCCCCATCTCCCACTGCCCACCCCTCTCAACCCATCACCATCCATTTTAGCAGCATGCTGTCTCATCTCTTCTGGGATCACATGTCTCCTCCTAGGGCAGACAGAAGCCCCAATATTTTTTTCCATCCAGACAAAGGACCACCCATAAAACAAAAGAGGCCTCCCCCACCCACCCACAGCTGCCGCCTGACCATTTGTTTTATGAACATCCCAGAATAACCCAAAAAAAAATTACACCAGCCTTCAAGTGGGCCTGGCCAGCAGCTGTGTCAAGACTGCTTCTTTTATTGCACTTGGAGTGAATTAATGGGCTCCTCCTCCCCCACAAGCTTCATGAATGAAGTTACCCAGTCCATTCAAGGCACAGTAAATAACAGATGTTCCACGGACCAAATGCCACCCTACCCCCACCCACCAATTTGTTTCTTAAGAGATTGTTTTTCACCTACAAGAAGTCTATCAAAGGTCACTCTCCTTGCTAATAGGATCTTGGAAGAGGAGGGAGAGGAGAGCATGAGGGTGCCTGCCTGCAGGGACGGGGAAATTGTAGCCCTTGTCAGAAAGATTTACCAGCTAACCTCCCAATCTTGAGACCCTGGTATTAAATACCAGCAAAGCTTACTGGCTGGGGCTTAACACGTTGGGGCGGGGTGTAGGGGAGAGGAGAATCAGATAAGCCAGCGCACAAGACCGGAGCTCTATGAAATTATTAAGCCCAGAACGAGATGGAGCTGTTAAGACTCCCCTTGCAGAAAGAAGCCTTTGTTGGCGGATGTCAGTATCACAACATTTCCCAGAAGCCCGCATTCCAAGAGTCTTATTTACACGCTCATTTATTTAAAATAAAATAAACAAAAGTAACCAGATCCAGCTAGAAATGGTCCTGGGTGCATCTGGGTAAGCAATCTTCAAGATAAAGCTGTTTTTCTAAGGCACCACATAGAAAGGAATATTGAATTGCCGTAGAGAAACAAACCTACCAAATGAAAAGTCAAATTGGATTTCTCCCTGGTCCCACAACTTACAATCAGATCTATGCTCTGCCCTCTGGAGGGAAGCAGTGCCCCCTTCAGCCCTCCCAGGAGAACGACCCATGGCTCTTGACAGCCTTCCAGGCGGGTTAATTGGACAGCGGGTAGTGAGTGCAAGGAAGACGGATAACACAGGTGCGCTGAGCATGCCCGCTACCTGAAAGACAGCTCAGCTTTGAGAAAGGTCCAACTGGCAGCAGCCATTGAGCCAAAGTCAGCTGAAGGATGCCTGGCTGGGGATTATTAGGAAGGGTATTGAAAACAGATCAGCCAATATCATAATGCCCCTATATAAATCAATGGTGCAATCTCATTTGGAATACTGTGTACAGTTCTGGTCACCACACCTTAAAAAGGATATTATAGCTTTGGAAAAAGTGCAGAAAAGGACAACTCGAATGATAAAAGGGTTGGAACACTTTCCCTGCGAGGAAAGGTTAAAGCGCTTAGGGCTCTTTAGCTTGGAGAAACGACGACTGAGGGGTGACATGATTGAGGTTTATAAGATTATGCATGGGAAAGGGCAGGTAGAGAAAGAGGTACTTTTCTCCCTTTCTCACAATACAAGAACTCGCGGGCACTCAATGAAATTGCTGAGCGGTCGGGTTAGAACGGATAAAAGAAAGTCCTTCTTCATCCAAAGAGTGATTAATGCCCAAGGGCCCCCGCCTCCAACGTGCCCTCTCCAAAAGAGCTGGGCCTGCTTTTGTACCCAAAAGAGCTGGGCCTGCTTTTGTACCCTGCTTTTGTACTGGGCCTGCTTTTGTTGCTCATTGATGCGCACCAGCCACGGATTTATTCTGTGGCACGTGGTGAGCTGCAAGCAACCCCTCAATATCCACCTGACTTAATCTGTAAAAGGGCAACGAGGGTGAACATCCGGGCCTCGGAGCCTTAACACAGAAATCCCAACGGACTGCCTGCACACAGGTCCCCGCCTCCAACGTGCCCTCTCCAAAAGAGCTGGGCCTGCTTTTGTACCCAGCCGGTTGCTCAGTGATGCGCACCAGCCACAGATTTATTCTGTGGCACATGGTAAGCTGCAAGCAACCCCTCAATATCCACCTGACTTAATCTGTAAAAGGGCAACGAGGGTGATCATCAGAAGAAGGATCCTACAAGGAACCAGAAGTTGTGCCAGAAGGCGAGGGGCATCACTCAAAACTCTGTGGGGTACGGCAAGGCAAGACAGTTGCCCTGAATTGCGCCGAAGAGAAGGAACCTGTTTTCTGTTGCTCCAGAAGTTCGGACCAGAACCAACGGGTTGAAATTAAATCAGAAGAGTTTTCAGCTAAACATTAGGAAGAACTTCCTGACAGAGC